CAAATTTGAACTACACTGAAAAAAAAATGATACTACATTTTTTAAGGAAAGTGGTTGCAACCAATTTATTTCAGCTACATTTAAAAACAAATGTTAAAAGTTATTCAACTCAATTTGTTTATTTAAATGTAGCTAAAACAAATTGATTGCAACCACTTACCTTAAATTTTTTAAAATAAATTCAATTAATCATTTGTTTTTTCAGTGTACCAAAATTACCAACTTTAACTACCAATTTTTAATATGCATTTCAAAAGTTAAATGTATAGTTTTGCATCAATTATTAATTCATAAATATTAAATTACAGAGGAGTTGCACCATATGACATTTTACAATCCAAACTAACCTTTATCGCAAAAAGGACAAGTTACTCTACTGACCTTGACACACAATCATTAAGGGTCCTCTCCATAGGGCTGGGTAAAACTATCGATATCTCGATTTTAATCTATTCTCATTTTTACAAAACGATATCGATTCCTAAATCCCAAGAATCAATTAGTCTAGCCTGTTTTCAGATAACGGATGGAACATTGAAGCGCACCTCCCATACAATAAATCGCAATAAGCATTGTTGGTACTTTTAATATGAAACAAAGTCTCAGATTTCAATTTATGTCCATTGTATTGCAGTATTCAAACAATAAATGCCGTTTTGGTGCTGTTTATTGTGGAGTGACAGATCGCTGTAGTGCCTCAGTTCAACAGACGTGAACTGATCATCTCCTCCACATTAATACCAGTTTCAGCATAAAAGAAACATGACTAAACATCCGAAGGTAAGTTAAAAGAAAGAGTACAACTTTACAATCCGTATCCTGTCTCATGTAATTGCTCAATCAGTGTTTCAGCCACGCAAAGACGTCAATATAACAGCTTGTAAAAAATCTTGTAAAATGTTTACTTCAGAAAGCATATTCGGTGACCATAAACTGGTTAGTCAGCCAGAAAAATAATCTGTAGAGAGGGGCATTTTGCTAAATATATGCACCATATAACATTCATTATATTTTTTTATGTTTTATTTATGTTTTAATAAATCCATCCACGTTTTTATGACAGCCACTATTTAAACGTGTATATTTAAAAGAACTAACTTAAATAATTGTAACTTAATTATTATAAAAACTTAATTAAGTGCAATTTAAGCAGTTGTACAGCACAAATCAGTCAATTTTAACCTTCAATATTATAATGTAGTACCAACTGACTCTCATGTATATTTTACAGCATTAGTTGAGAGATTTTTTTCCTTGAGAAAATTTGGCATGTAGCCTACCTGATATGTATCCAAAAGAATCGATATTGAATTGAATCAAATCGCAAGCTTGTGAATGCAAATCGAATCGAATCGTGAAACTTGTGTCAAAACCCAGCCCTACCTCTCCATGTTAATATTTTAATATTTTTCTGCATGTTTCAACAGCATATCGAAGAAATTGTACTGAAATTGCATAACATTTCTTTAAAAGCATAACGCAAATTTTCAGAAAGCCTATTTAGACCAAAATGACACCACACTAGTCTGAAAGATCTGACGCACGTGACCATTTTTCACTTAAAACCCTACATTTACCTTCCTTCCACACATCTTCCCAGGAACACTGATCTGTCAAAGAATCCTGAATTTGGCATTGGGAAAGCTCAATATAGCCCTGCTCTCAAAGGCTCAGTGAACTCTGGGTCCTTGTGTAGGCATGAAGAAAACAAAGGCAGTTTTGTTCTCCACCCAGCGTCCTCCAGCACCCCTCACAACAACAGAGATAGTTTCCTACGTTTGCCCCAGTGAGTTTAGTCTAAGATCAGTGAGCATCCATGAAAGGTCTCCATGATTGAACAAAGCAATAAATACAATACAAAAACATCTAGGTATAAGACTTCATGGGAACACAACAAAGAAAGCTGAATGGGATCACCTGAGCTCTCACGGATCTGCAATTTAACTCTCTTCGCTTAAAAGTGCGGAACCCTAATTACTAAAGAGCATGCGCACCTGGGCTTGCATTCAAAACAACTCACAGTCTAATCTCAGATTTAACTTTTACTGCACTTTGACAGTTTGGAGACATGTTTTATCCAAAGCAACTTACAGTGATTTTAGAGTTGTGATACAATGACCATGCGTCACTGAACCCAGAATATCTGCACTGGCAGTCTAATCATTAGACCCTCCACCACCCTTCATCTGAGATACAATGACACAATTTTCTACAAAAGGAGATGTACCTGAATGTTGAATTGCAAAAACACTGTATTTTATGCAAGCAGGAAATAAGGGTTACATTCTTATAGGCCATTCCCATTCATCCATAATCTGGAGTGAGAAGACAAAACAAATGAATTCTCCTGAACCTTGATCCTGTTTGACACTGCCAGCACAAACAGTGGGACACATTTTTATATAAATAAAAGGTTATATATTCAGAATATAGGCTGATTGTATGTGGGTGTTGCTTCAACTTTTGAAGTCCTGCTGGTTGATTTTTACTTAAACAGATTTCAACTTTTTGATATTTTATTATATGAAGGTCACATGGGAACTTTTTATGCAGCTACTTTTCAATGTATAATTTAACCTTGTTCCACACCAATTTATCAACATGAATTACATTTAAAACTGTAACAATTAGTGAAACAAATGATTTTTATATTTATGAAAATGATTTATCAACTGAATTTTGCCGCATAATAGCATCATTTCCAACACAACCAACAATTTTGCCCTAATAATGTACTTTTATTAGTGCAAATAGTACTAATACTAAGCACTGGTACTAATAGTGGTACTTTAGTACTAATAGTGTAATTTTTACCAAGATACATTGACTGTGAAGAGCATACTTGAGATGAAATATGACGGGGGGGGGGGGGGGGGGGTGAAAATATGATTTAACTGTAACTTACTATATTTAGGATACATAAAATGCTAGCCAAAATAGATCATGTAACATTGTTGGACACTATACATAAATTAAAATGTGGTGGAAATGACACAATGGGGAAAATTACTTAAATATTCTCCTGTGTATGTCCACTGCTGTGGACAAACTAAGTGTTTTAAAGGGGTCATATGATGCTTTTTTAAAGCTCATTATTTTGTGTATTTGGTGTAACAGAATATGCTGACATGCTTTAATGTTCAAAAAACACATTCTTTTTCAAATACTGTACATTATTGTAGGTCCTCTATGCCCCGCCTCTCTCAAACGCTTCGTTTTCTACAAAGTCCCTCCTTCCGACAAGCGCAGTCTGCTCTGATTGGCCAGCTGACCCAGTGCATTGTGATTGGCCGAACACCGCAAGCACTCGTCTAGAAACACACAGCGTCTCCCTGACATGCTGCTTCAACACTTAACAGCGGTTACTGAAAGCACTCCTTTCTTTGCGTGAACATTTGGGCGGCATTATGCAAATATTTCCACATAGTGAGGTAGATATGTGGGGGCGTGTTAGAACGAGCCGTTTTAGGGGGGCGTGGCAGAGTCTTAACTTTGATAAAGAATATCTCTTTGGTTTTGAGACTTTAGTCTTTGCAACTTCAGGGATCTTATCTATGCACAATCAGCTTGCAACACTCCAAAGAGAAAGGAAAACTTGAAATCGCATAATCTTTAAGAGTTTATATTGCAAAAACCACCTGGCCCAAGGTGCCCATATTGAAAGAAACACCCATATTTTATTTTAATCACAATACAAGTAATATCAGCAGTCTGCAGACATTAGCCCCTTTCTTCAAATAGCAAAGGGTGAAGCCTCCTCAAATTTCAAGGGATTTGTATGACTGTAGTGTCAAAGGAAACGGACGTTAGACGGATTTTGGGTGGCACACAACATATTCCGCTAAATAAATACGTTACAAAACTTGTTGCGGACTTGTTTAATCCCCTTATCGTGTTTTGGCTTTATATTCTACAATGCCCTGGACAAATATACCCTTCACACACATAACTGAGGTAAAAATGTGCCTACTTAAGCACCTCAGAGATACACAGTAACCGATTCTAACACTGAAATCGACTTACTCGTTGTTGTTTTGCTCTTATTCAGGCGAAACCCAGTTATGTTTTTTTTTTTTTTAAAAGAGCATGTCTATTACTTACTTTATTATTATTTTCTTGTTTAATTATTTTTAATCCTTTGTGCTTTAAACTGAAATATACACACAAGGCCTTATGGATCTTTTTTCTTTGGGGGTCATTCATGTTATGGCATCCATTTTTATCTTCCCACTATTGGATAAAAAATTAATTCACAATATGTAAAGACAGAAATCATATTTAAATATCAATTTGAGCTATTATTTTGTCAAATATTAATTTGACTTGAGATGCACTTTCAGACTTTTCTTTATTTGTCCTTTTCTGTATTATTATCATTTTTTTTCATTTATTCGTTTTTCTTATTCGGCGCAGAATCTTCTTTTATTTGACAATGAATTCATATTTTCCCCCGGTGTCCTCAGTATTGGCATTTTCATCTTGGTAGTCTTTTGTAACGCCACTTTAATTAGTAAAAGACAGGTCCTAAATAAGATTTAGGCTATCAACAACGACAAAGATTTAGCAACATGAATTCTTTGTTGTTTTGTCAAGTTAATTTCTCACTTGTTATCATTTTCTCATCCTGTTAGACAAAATTACAGAAATTGTGCATACATAATTTGACCAAAATTGCATAAGATAAGTGATATGCTGATTTCATGTTAACATCCTCATGTCACTCAGAAGTGACTAACTTCAGCTCTTTATTTTCGTCCTGTTAAGTTAAGGCATCCTGTTCATTTTTCTCGCCACTGTTTAAATAATCAAGCTATATTAAATAAAGCTTAAGTACTTGAGCTTGAACAGAGCACATTTCTGAAAGTCTGGTGTACTTTGTATAGGAACGACAACGCGGGCGTATTGCTGTTTGAGAATTCTAGAATTCTAAATGTACTGAGTAGCAGGAATGACCGGAAAGAGCACAGGGACTTTTGTTTTGAAATCTCCTTGGAGTCCGAGAGCGGAAGTCATTCGCGACCAGCGAAAGGTTCACGTTACTTGCAGGAACATTAAAGAAAGGAGGAAAAGCGGGTAGCGGCTATCAACACTGATTTTATTCAGGAAAGGTGTCATATAATCTACAGACGCTGGTATCTCAGTGTTCGTCTCCCCCTCAAGCCACTGGCGAAGTTCATCGTGGAAGTGAGTGAAAGAAATAAAGCTGCTATAGCTAACGAGCTAAAGGTGTTTGTCAAGCTGTTAGCTCCATTAGTTCATATTGGTTAGCTGACTGGTAATCCTGCTTATAGTTAACGGTAATCTTGACTGATTGAGGTTGTGATCTGTATACAGAGTTTGAACAATAACTACGCATCACGACTCGCCCTGTGGCTCATATTAGCGACAGAAATGAATAACTTGATGGCTCTGCTCGCTGTTTAGATGTGATATGCATCGATGTCTGAGCAGCTCGATTGGTTATCAACAAAGCAGTTAGATATATTGGTGCTCTAGACAGCTGGCAGGTGATTTGTGAAATATCTTGTTCCTCCTTCATGTTAAGGGCTGAAAACTTTGAACATTGAGGCGTCTGGCCCGCAGCAGGAGGAAAGCTCATTCAATGTCGTGAGAAGGCTTTATTTATTAATTTATTTACGGTGTATTTTTGTTTCCACGTTTATTTTGTTGAATTAAACATACGGATATAGGTGGTGTTTATTATTTCACGGTCTGTATTTTTATTTCTGTTAGGTTTTTTATTATTATTTGTATTTATTCTTTATAGAAGGATTTCGTCTTCACTGGGGGACCATTAGAGAATCCATTAACGTACACAGGTCTGAGACTGTGGTCTTCGGAGAAAGATGCTAGTTCACCTTAAAGAGGTCATATGATGCGATTTAAAATTTCCCTTTCTCTTTGGAGTGTCACAAGCTCTTGGTGCTTAAAGAAGATGTGTAAAGTTGCAAAGACTAAAGTCTCAAATCCAAAGAGATATTCTTTATAAAAGTTAAGAGTCAGCCACGCCTACCTAAAACGGCTCGTTCTAACACGCCCCCACATATCTACATCACGATGTGGGAAGATTTGCATGTTGTTATTATTATTATTATTAATTTGCATTATTGTTTTTGTCTCGTTGCTCCGGCCGGATTCGCCATCACAGTATTAGGTGGTGTTTATTATTTCACGGTCTGTATTTTTATTTCTGTTAGGTTTTTTATTATTATTTGTATTTATTCTTTATAGAAGGATTTCGTCTTCACTGGGGGACCATTAGAGAATCCATTAACGTACACAGGTCTGAGACTGTGGTCTTCGGAGAAAGATGCTAGTTCACCTTAAAGAGGTCATATGATGCGATTTAAAATTTCCCTTTCTCTTTGGAGTGTCACAAGCTCTTGGTGCTTAAAGAAGATGTGTAAAGTTGCAAAGACTAAAGTCTCAAATCCAAAGAGATATTCTTTATAAAAGTTAAGAGTCAGCCACGCCTACCTAAAACGGCTCGTTCTAACACGCCCCCACATATCTACGTCACGATGTGGGAAGATTTGCATGTTGTTATTATTATTATTAATTTGCATTATTGTTTTTGTCTCGTTGCTCCGGCCGGATTCGCCATCACAGTATGGTACGGGGTGTAACATTTCCGTCACACGCTTGAGGTATTCGGCCAATCACAGCACACCTTGCTTTTCAGACCGATGAGCTTTGTAAAAATCGACGCGTTTCAGAAAGGCAGAGAATAGAGGAGAAACAATAATGTACAGTATGTGGAAAATAATGTGTTTTTTGAAACTTAAACCGCATAAACATATTTCATTACACCAAATACACAAAATAATGTTATTTTTAGCAACATCATATGACCCCTTTAAGATGAAAATTCTATCAGTGTTGCTATTTCTGTAAAGCACAAAAACACAAATCTTGACGGCCTTAGTTGCCGTTCACTTTCATTGCATCTTTTTATCCACACAATTGTGGCTGTCAGTCAAACATAAGTAGCTAACACTTTTTTTTCTCACTGAAGAAAGAAAGGCCTGCATGTTTAGATCAACATGAGACTGAGATTGTTCTGAATTATGACAGAATTTTCAATTTTGGGTGAGCTGCTCCTTGACAAATTTCATTTAAATATCCATGGTGTGTAACCATTCATTGCATTCATTGATTGTTGTACGCCGTGCTCAGGAATGTTAAATGTATTTGCGAATACAATTCGAATTCCTCTGTATTATCAGATTATATTTATTGTTCCTAAATATGTAAATTAAGATTGTAACCGGTGGTGCTTGTAAGTTTGACTAGTCATAAATTGTATGCAGATATTCCAAATTTAGGAAAACAATGTGTATGGCTAATATATGTTAGCAAATGAGTGACTGAATAAAGGACTATTTTGCATCAAGTATAACTATAACAATACCTATGAATTTTTAGTAATCGTTCAAATTCTATGAGAATAGGGAAGTCCATAGCTATAACTATGATTGCACAGAGAAACAATTATTTTCCAGCTGATAAAATGTTGACTGCTGATTAGAATCCACCCAACTTTAAAGCCTCGTTCACATTAATAACGATAACTAAGCTATATAACCATTCGCACCAAGAATGATGACTATAACTATAAAGTTTTAATAGTCATTCTAATTGTATGAGAATAATGAACTCTACACCACAATGGCAAAGAGGAACGATTTGGTGGTAGTCACTTAACAAACTTTTTTTTTTCCCCCCCAGCTGATGAACAATAACACATTGACTGCCAATCTGAATCCACATGACTTTAAAGGCCTGCTCACATCAAGAATGATAACTGTTAAAGATAACTGTGAAGTTAACTATAATGGCATTCACACCAAAGAGCTCTGGTTATGTTGTCTGCTGTTTTAGATGCTTGAGCAATCGTGTGGATTCAAATTAGCTGTCAATGTTTTATTGTTCATCAGCTGAAAGAAAATATACAAGAAATATAAATATTAAAATATATAAAAAAAACTTTTGAAAGTGCTTTCAACAATATGATTCCAACAATATAGATGTGGTTTTGACTTCCCAATTTTCAGAGAATTAGAACGATCATTAAAACTTCATAGTCATCGTTACATCGTTGGTTATCGTAAACTGGCCTTAAAGCACTTGAGAATTTAAAGTGGCAGGTTGCAAAATCGCAGCACGCGATTGTAAACTAAATCTTATCGTCTGTTGGTGTGAACACGAATACATTTATCATAGTTATTGTTCTTGGTTTGAATAGGCCTTAAAGGGATAGTTCACCCAAAAATGAAAATTTGATGTTTATCTGCTTACCCCCAGGGCATCCAAGATGTAGCTGACTTTGTTTCTTCAGTAGAACATATGATGATTTTTAACTCCAGCCGTTGCAGTCTATCAGTCGTATAATGCATGGCAATGGTAACAAAATCTATGAGCGTACAAAAAACATGCACAGACAAATCCAAATTAAACCCTGCGGCTCGTGACGACACATTGATGTCCTAAGACACGAAACGATAGGTTTGTGCGAGAAACCGAACAGTATTTTTATCAATTTTACCTCTAATACACCACTATGTCCAACTTCCTTGAGCACGCGCACGGCATCCAATGCGTGAGGTGTGTACGCGCTCTGGCGTAGTTTACGTTAATGGGTGTGTTGATATCCAGCCGAAGAGCAATCAACCATAACTTCAGGCGAGCAGGCTCAGATGTTGGGAATACGTGGAAAGTCACCACTCCCGAATGAGTTCGCGCGAGAGAACGTAATCTTTTAGTTTTAAGTCGGTTTGAACAATCTTGATAAGCGCAAGTAAGTACCATTTTGATTAGCCGTCGTACCTACAATGACTGTGCACTGTGTAAACAATGAGTGACGTATACGCGCGAGAGATCACTTCCGGCGCTTGCCCTGGGGGTAAGCAGATAAACATCAAATTTTCATTTTTGGGTGAGCTATCCCTTTAAGTCAATGTATATGTTTCTGTATTGTATTGAGATTCACTGATTTTGACTTGTCAATATTGAAGGTTTTCGCCTCAGTGATCACCCCTACTCGGGGGTTCAGGGAAGCGTTTCCTCACTGGTTGTGTCACAATAGGAATCCCTCCCTGATGCCCGACTTCCTCCTGAGCTAATCTCTTTTCAAAAGGTTAATGATTTGAGAGAAGACATCTAATGGATACAGCATACTGCATTAGTGCTGCATCACCGATAATCGCAAATAATGATGCCATGGGCATTAGAAATACGTCAAAATGTATGCACAGTTGTGGGTTTATATTTAAATTCCAACCACTATTGTTTAGCATGGCTGTGATGCGGTTGACATTAGGAACAATAGATAAGCGCAAGTAAGTACCATTTTGATTAGCCGTCGTACCTACAATGTTTGTGCACTGTGTAAACAATGAGTGACGTATACGCGAGAGAGATCACTTCCGGCGCTTGCGTAAACTACGCCAGAGCGCGCGCCCAAAGACAGTTGGCCTTAGTGGTGTATTAGAGGTAAAAAATGATATAAATACTGTTCAGTTTCTCGCACAAACCTATCGTTTTGCGTCTTAGGACATCAATGTGTCGTCACGAGCCGCAGGGTTTAATTTGGATTTTTCTGTGCATGTTTTTTGTACGCTCATAGATTTTGTTACCATCGCCATGCATTATACGACTGATAGACTGCAACGGCTGGAGTTAAAAATCATCATATGTGTTCTATTGAAGAAACAAAGTCACCTACATCTTGGATGCCCTGGGGGTAAGCAGATAAACATCAAATTTTCATTTTTGGGTGAACTATCCCTTTAAGTCAATGTATATGTTTCTGTATTGTATTGAGATTCACTGATTTTGACTTGTCAATATTGAAGGTTTTCGCCTCAGTGATCACCCCTAAAGCACAGAGTGTGCAGTCTTACTCGGGGGTTCAGGGAAGCGTTTCCTCACTGGTTGTGTCACAATAGGAATCCCTCCCTGATGCCCGACTTCCTCCTGCGCTAATCTCTTTTCAAAAGGTTAATGATTTGAGATAAGACATCTAATGGATACAGCATATTGCATTAGTGCTGCATCACCGATAATCGCAAATAATGATGCCATGGGCATTAGAAATACGTCAAAATGTATGCACAGTTGTGGGTTTATATCACTCTGTTATTGTTTAAGAGGTGTAATGGTGCTCAAAACATACTCAGATCGAATGTTTCCTTCCCACAGTGTGCTGGCAACAGTGACTGGTTCAGCGGCAGCGGTGCCAACAGCAGTCGTCCCATGAGTTTTCTTTTGGCCTGAGCTGTCTGCTTTGGGCTCTGGACTGGTTCGTCTGGATCTCTGTGCCTCTGGCGCCACAGTCATGGATCACCCCAGAGAGAAGGAGGGCGAGAGGCCGGTCAGGAGCAGTAAAGTGGCCCAGGGGCGCAGCGGGCACTCGCGGCCCTCCAGCTCCTCCACGTCCTCTGGGGTCCTTATGGTTGGACCGAACTTCAGAGTTGGCAAGAAGATCGGCTGTGGCAACTTTGGAGAGCTGAAGCTCGGTAAGAGAAGTCATTAGTGAATTATTTGTTCACAAAAGTCTCCATGGAGCAACTAGGGGTGAAGTTCTTTGCTTAAAGGTGCCAAGCAGGAGTTCATGGGTCATCATCATTAGTCAATCCACTGGAGAACGTTGACTTGAGTCATGTGAAAGGTCCTTAAAGCTGTAGTGTGTAATTTGTGCACTGCTATGCAACAAGTTGTATTGCAAAATAGTGTTATAGTGTTTTCACAGAAGTTTTCTTAGAACGAGCCTCCCTGATCTATTAGTTGAACAAACAGATTGGTTGAGTAGACCTGTTTGGGGTTGTGATGTTCAAACAAAAAAAATGACACACTTCACCTTTTAAGGAAGACTCAAGCCTGGTCTGCACAACATAGCATGAGCATAGCAGTATTAGCCAATATTTTTTTAAAGGGGACATTAGGGCTGGGCGATATGACGATATATATCGGATGGACGAAATTAAAAGTCTTATCGTTTCATATTATGCTCTATCGTTTTTTTCGTGGTGCCACAAAATACATGGTTTACGGCAATGCTTTTTCATCATTTGAATGACGGCAGTCTTACATGCATTACACGGGGATGCAGGCAGAAACGTGAATAACAGCATGCGCGCTCACGTCACGTTGCGGTGCGCGTGGTTATGAAAACTTGTTGTTTGCATGCGTTTTTCACATCTTTTGTGTGAGATGTGAGTGCAGCAGTCATATTTGTCCGTCTAAAATAATGCGCTGAATATGCATACTGTGTGAATGGCTTGGTTTCGATTTTAACCTAATCAAGATCTTCTCCGCATTAAGCTTCTATATTTCTCTAATATTTTGAATGCATAACACAGCAGCAGCGCATCTCGTGGGCAAGACTAACAAAACATTAAAATGCAACAGCGTCACTTACATCATTATCACCGCATCTTGTGCGCCACTGATGACGCTCCCTGACCCACTCCTAACATTCAAATGCAAATGTTTATTTTAAATAACTAATATTAATTTTATTATTCACAATCTCCTCATCACAGGCAGGCACAGCACTCAATTCAGCGTGTGTTCGTGTTTGTGAGTGCGGTGTGTTGTCTGCGTCACTCATAGCACGTGCCTATATCGTGCACTATATTGAACTTTTTTTTTATATCGTTATTGAAGAAGGTGTATTGTCGATAAATATCGATACAGTTTTATCGCCCAGGCCTAACCGCTAGCAAGTGGTTAACCATGTCCCTTTAGTGGCTCCATAGTAGGCCTGCACGGTAAAACAAATCGAAATCACGATTAGACAAAAGCTGCGATTGTCATGCGTATCTTTCAGTGAAGCACGGTTCTGTGATCAGCAGTAAATCTCCATCCGAAGGCCAGAGGGCGCTCTCACGCAGAAAACTCCAAATACGCCCTGCAGAAGAAACCCAGGAAATCCCTATAGGGGTAGCTGAATAAACAGAAGATTTAAATGCTTTCATTAATTCAACGTGACTAATAAACACACGACTACGGCAATATATAATTTATCTGAGTTGTTGTTCTTATTTTCATTATAATAATGTATATCTATAATGCAATGCTAATCGACATAGCCTTTATCACTGCATAGAATGCTATGAAATGTTGCGTGCCTTATTCTGTGTAAGAAGCAACATCATCTCACAGAAGGATTAATTTCAAACACTCTACTGACGTTATGAAGTGAGTTTTGAGTAAAAACATGTTATTAAATGTGGTATATTCACATGCTTTCAGATGGAGCAGCATTTACTAAACAGAGCCGTAGTTCACTGAGAAAGCTACACAAACAGCTGTCAATATCGCGAACGATATCTTCGATTTCATAATCGTACAATTATATAGTATGCAAATTATTATTTCTTTTTTTTTTGCGTAGCTTGTCAGAGAATTACGGCTTTGTGTAGTAAATGCTGCTCCCTCTGAAAGCAGGTGATGGAGATTTACTACTAGTTACGGAACCAGCTTTACTGACAAGATGTGCATGACAATCGCATTCGATTAATCGTGCAGCCCTACTCTGTTGAATGCATTATTTGTTCTCCATGCCTTTTTGAATACTGATTCACGCTTCAGGCACACCCTTCAGGAACAACTTTTTTAGCACAACCTGCTAAACAAAAGTAATCCACTGCTTCTTCAGTGGCTCAGATGTCGGGAGTAAAAAGAACAGTCGTGGGCGGGACCTGTTCAAAGTTACGTTTAGTTACGTCACTTTGCCAAGAATTTGTTAATGGCTTGATCTCAGAAAGTGCTTATGATTTGTGGGGATTTAAAAACACCATGTAAAAGTTAATTTTGCATCTGATGTCCCCTTTAAATTCTGTCAGGATGATATTGGAATCAGATAATAAGGGCTTCTTTTTTTTCAAATGTTAACTCATTTTATGCTGGGTCTTTTTAATCTGTTTTATTCATTCTTCTGTAATTTTAATGCCCTATTGCTATTCTTGAGATTGTTACTCGTGAACAATATTTTTTAGTATTTCATATATGTCAGCTTCCATATTTGTTATATGAGCTAGTGTTTTACAAGTCTGTTTTAGATGGCCAGTGGCTGTTATGCAATCAAGAATTGCAAAATTTCTGAATTGTAAACTCGCTTGAAATTCACAAAATTTACAACAAATTTGGTAGATTTTGGAACTAACACAAAAGGGAACTGCCAATTCTGTTAATCAATCAAGCTGTCACAGTGTTCCACTGATAGTGAGGGTAGTGCATTGCTCATGACACAGGAGCTGTTGTCCTAAAGTGACGGGTTCAGAACCAACCTGGGTCATGTTCCAAATATGTTCCTCTTTTCTCTACCTTGACACTCCTTTCAAAATCTCCATTAGATTTCCTTTCTATTTATGCCAAATTTACACTGCAAATGTGGCACAGAGATGCTTCTAAAGTGGCATTTGTGTCTTTAAAACAAACTGTTTAAAGCTGCTCAGAAGTGGCATAAATTCATTTACACTGTAATTACAACTGTATACTTCCATACTAGGGATTAAAGTGGGTCTGAGCAGGCATAATTTACTCTGACTTTCATGCAACATTGCGTCTTGAATTTTGAGCATGCACAGAGCAGCCTTAACTCAGCTGTGTAAGGATAAATGTGACCCTGGACCACAAAACCAGTCTTAAGTCGCTGGGGTATATTTGTAGCAACAGCCAAAAATACATTGTTTGGGTCAAAATTATTGTTTTTTCTTTTATGCCAAAAATCATTAGGATATTAAGTAAAGATCATGTTATATGAAGATATTTAGTAAATTTCCTACTGTAAATATATTAAAACTTAATTTTTGATTAGTAATATGCATTGCTAAGAACTTCATTTGGATTTTCTCAGTATTTAGAATTTTTAATTTTTTTTTTTTTTTTGCCCCCTCAGTTTCCAGATTTTCAAATAGTTGTTTCTCGGCCAAAACATCATGTCCTATCCTAAACAAACCATACAGGATAAATGTGACCCTGGACCACAAAACCAGTCTTAAGTCGCTGGGGTATATTTGTAGCAACAGCCAAAAATACATTGTTTGGGTCAAAATTATTGTTTTTTCTTTTATGCCAAAAATCATTAGGATATTAAGTAAAGATCATGTTATATGAAGATATTTAGTAAATTTCCTACTGTAAATATATTAAAACTTAATTTTTGATTAGTAATATGCATTGCTAAGAACTTCATTTGGAATTTCTCAGTATTTAGAATTTTTTATTTTTTATTTTTTTTGCACCCTCAGATTCCAGATTTTCAAATAGTTGTATCTCGGCCAACATCATCATGTCCTATCCTAACAAACCATACATCAATGAAAGCTTATTTATTCAGCTTTCAGATGATGTATTAATCTCAATTTCGAAAAATTGACCCTTATTACTGGTTTTGTGGTCCAGTGTTACAAATATATAGGCAGAAATCCAATACTTGAAAATATAAGTATAGATCAAATTGTCTGTATTTTTGCATCCATATTCAAACAGTATAATTTCAGTTGCAGTTGGTCACCCTTTGTCTGTTTTGCTTTTTAGGAAAGAATCTCTATACAAATGAGTATGTTGCAATAAAGTTGGTAAGTATATTTATATTTATTATTTTCTACGAAGGGATTATAACAGCAGAGGCTGGTGTTCCGCTAACGATTTGTTGTAACGTGTAGTTGTAATGTCTAGGCATGTCTGTAGATCTGGAATCAAACTCTAAAGGCTGGATTTGTTCAAAGAAATCAACTCCAACTGCTGTATTTTAGACAGACATTTTAGGAACCTAAAACCACTAGAATATACTTGTATATTCTGGTACTGATAACCTAAATATGACGTTTGGAAATAAATGTGTGTTTCTGGCTGGAATATTTGTATCTTGTAAATGAATTTAATGCGAACAAATAAGAGTTTTAATTTAATCTTTTTTTTTCTGCCACTCCTAAAGGAACCTGTGAAATCGAGGGCCCCACAGCTACATTTGGAGTACCGGTTCTACAAAACATTAGGCAGTGCAGGTAAGATTATAATCAGCACCAGCACTGCTGTACGCTGCATTTATCTCCTTTGTTTGCTTGGATAATATTCATTTGACGTGTTTTCAAGTGCTGTATTTTATATTTTTGCATTCACATCCGTGTGCTTGCTCATTGTATCTCATCTACCTTTAGCCTTAATCTTCACATCCACGTGCATGACTTTGTTTAAACTGCGCTTAGGCTTTGTGACAGGGATTTACCGTTATTTTTCTTGCTTTCAAGCCTGCAGTTTCCGAGCAAGTTTTGTGAGGATGTTTCCTTTGTATTGGATTGAGGATTTTTTCCCCTCTGAAGTATTTGTCATGTTGAGTCATAGCTTCAGTTTTGATCTTACAGAATGGTTTGTTTTACTAGGCATATATATATAAAACAGAGATGAAAATCTACTCGCTTGATACAAAAGTCATGTTTTGCCTCACTTACCAGTGGCTGATGAAAAGATGTTTTGTCCCTCTTGACAAAGAAATTCTTTAGTTCTTGTTCATTGTATATTTGTCTCAGTGAAATGCCGCCAAACAAAACTGTCAAACCCATTGTGATGTTGTTCCTTATAATTTCCATGCCTTTTGTAGGCTATTTGTACTTCATTGTCTTTTTTTCCATATCAATTTTCAAGTAGGTGTAAGTAGGCCTGTCGCAATAATCAATATATATGTCAATCAATACTTATCGCGCAATATATGTACAGGACCTCAATAATTTTTGGTGACGCAATTTATCGCCCATTATATTTACTTAAAAAAGAATGTCACCATGATTTGTACATTCCACTTGCGCCTGTGTCTTTTGCAGCTTCTCGTACATAACGTGGTGTTGTCATGTGGTGCTAGTTCAAATTTTAAAAATGCTTCTACAAACAAAGTTTAATCTGCAGATATGGCCTTGTTTAGGGATCTGTGCCTTTGCGCATACAGACATCTGACTGCTAAGTAGTGATTGTGTTTTTCAACATTAGTGTGCACCCTTCATTTACAGAGAAGGTGAGGGAAAAATCTGTAGATGGAAAAATCTCTATACAAGTTCTTTGTGCATTTTTCTTTTTTCTACTTGTTACTTTGCACTTTTTGTTAGAAAATGTTTATTTACTATTTATTCACGGTTTTTAAGGTATCTAATATTTTGATACTTAATTTCCATGATCTAAATATTCTTAAAAATTCTAATTTTGTTGTCATTTGGAAGTGTTTAGGCCTTCTTGCATTATAATGCTGTTACATTATGATTATATATTCAGTGGCATAAAATGGTCTTTAAAATGACAATAATATCACTTATCACAATTATTTCTGTGGCAATATATCGCACAACAAAAAGTTGTTATTGTGACAGGCCTAGGTGTAAGGCACAAAATGGTAAGAAATAAGTAGTTGAGTTTCCATTCATGCATTTTCATGCATATTTTGAAATGTTGCATAAAAAATGCTGGATGGAAACATCAAAATGGCAATATATTTTCATATGATGGAAACACATTTACTAAATAAATCAGTCATATAAGAATAATTGTGTAGTGATCGGCCGATATTTGGTATTTTTCAAATATCGGCATCGGCCGATACGTTTTTCTGTTTGGCCGATGCGTTCGAGGCGGGACTTTTATTTTGACTGCGCTGAGAGCAGCAGCACCTGAGCACACAGTGCTCACATTCTCCCTCTTGTTTGCTATCGTTGTTAACAGTTCTGTCTAATATGGATAGAAGTCTGTCTAATAATCCGATAGAACTGTTAAACAAAGCAATTAAAATGTATACAAAAAATATTATAATGATTGCTTTTATATTATTAGTAATAGAAAGGCAAACATTATAATACTTTCTCATTTGCCGTCAGCATTCAGCAAATACGCATTTACATCATTTAAACAAATCTTTGAATGGCTAATGAAAATTTTATTTCACAAACCTTGCAAACTTAGTAGAATCCAGTTGTGAGAAGTGTGCATGTGACCTGCATGATCGCGTGTTCTCTGTGTGACTTTTGGTCTGTGCAAATTGAATGCTTTAAACATTAAATTTGTGATTTCAAATTATGCTGCGCTTTATGCATTTGTCCACTGTCATATTCATGTCATTTTCACTGTGTGCTGTATGTAAAATGACTATTACCTTGGGCTTATTTGAAAAAATATGATTCCCAATGCACACAAACTTCCCTGAATACTGAGAGCTCTGTTGGTTACAGTTTACTTCCTTTTTAATTATATTTTTATTAAATACTTATTTATTTGTGAAAAATACTTTGTCATCTAAAGTATAAGTATGTTTATTTTACAAATTTATTTAATCCATTTTCAAATTATTTTACATTTCTTAAATATTAATTAAAATAAATACAATTATATCGGCCATCGGCCACCCTGCGTTCCAAGATATCGGCATCGGCTGTCAAAAAAACAATATCGGTCGACCACTAATTATGTGATAAGAAAATATAATTGAAATAATTTGTTACTATAATGAGTGCATCATATACTGTAATGAGTGTTAAATAAGTAATTTATTTTCATTTAAATAAAAAAGATAAACAACAACAGTAGATACAATTTCCATTTGTATTTTGCACCATTTTCCCCAAAATTGATGATTTTATGTTGAGTTTGTGGGATGGAAATACTTTTTTCCCAGTATTTACATTTTCTGCATAACTTGAATGGAAACGTTGTTTCCATTGGGCAGTGCAGTGCGTTTGTGCTAGTGCTTGTCCAGTATAGAATTGTTTTAACAATTTCATATTATTCTTTACCTCTGAATCTGTTCATTCATGCTTTTAATCTGCAAGGACTAATAACTGTCTTTGCATCTGTATGTAAATATATGCCATTTCGACCTCAAAGCTACTAGACTGCTCTGCTATAATTCAGAGATCGCTCAGGGATGTTGGTTTGGTTTGGCGGTGGTTTCACTCTGCATCTTTTAGCTTTTCAATCAGGACAGCATATTGAAGAAACACTCAAATTAGTGGTAAAGCATTTGTCTTGTGCAGTAGCTGCTGAGCTTGATCACTTCACGCTGCACTTTGATTCAGGAAGTGGCAGCTGGGGTGTCACAGAGCAGTGCGGTGATGGTGTTGTCCTTGTGACACAATGCTCTGTTCAATGTCTGGATGATGACAGGCCAGGGGGTATGGCCTCAGACTGTCCACTTCTTGAGATTCACACACAGCCATTCCTCAGTCAACATCTTCATACTGAGTCTATTAGCATAAGAAATATACTCCATGGAGCCTTGTCATGTATAGCCAGTTTTGTGTGTTTGCATTTAATAGATAGCTAGCTAGATAGAAATGTCATGATCATCTGAGGGGAATTCAGTGCTGAATAGATTTGGGTTTGGGTGTCACTCATTTCACAGGGGTCATGCTATTGATATCTTCTAGAGCTTTTTAAAGCACAGATTTTGGGCAATGGCGTTTTGAGAAATTGTTCTCATACTGGTTTCTAAGCCCAGACAAGCTTTACAGAACATCCCATTAGAATGAAATTAAAATTTTAGTGAGTGGAAAATGCGCTCATAAGATGCTAATCACTGAAAATTGTTCTTATTTTGGCTGGAATGAATTCTGACATTCCAATTGCATTTTTATCTGCCATTTTACTTTATAAAAATGTAATTATGCAGTGACATGATTAGCAGTGTCTGCAGTTTTTAATCAAGGCAAATGCTGCTTAGTCAACCAAGTTGAGATTTGTCAGCCATTACGCCTGATTATATTAGTGTTAGTGCTGTCAAAATGAACGTGTTAATGCATGCGATTCCTTTCTATTTATTTTTTTCTTGGGACATTAAGAATATTTAACGCAATAGCTTGTTTGCAATCACATGATTCTGACATGTTGGACATGATTCATTTGTTATGAAGAGGAGCGATTTTTCAACTAAATTGAAATACTTACCTGCCATCGAGGCGGTGGATCTAGGCTAAGCAACTAACCTTGATTGCAAACAAGCTGTTTCGAAAGTGAATCCCGCATTTATAAGAGGGATGTGGGATATACTGTATGTCACTCCTGAAACTTTGCTGCATGTACTGGGTATGTGACATTGGTCCTGTTAGAAGCACGTAAAACAAAACTTTGATTCAAATTCTGAATTGATTATAGATAGTGGTCGACCGATATATCGCCAAGGGCCGATATATCGGCTGATTATTTTTCAAATGTCTGCATCAGCCGATAAGTTTTTCTGTTTGGCCGATGCGTTCGATGTGGGACTTTTATTTTGACGGCACTGATAATGGCAGCCCCTGAGCACACAGTGTTCACATTCTCCCACTTGTTCGCCATCGTCGTTAGCAGTTCTGTCTAACACGGATAGAAGAAGTCTGTCTAGAACTGATTGCAGGGATATAACTAAAGACAGGACAAACTAACAAAAACATAAAAACAACTGCAGAGCACGCCACGGAGGCAGCCATCAGCGTCGGCGCCATTGTGCTTAATACGTTCTCGTTTGCCGTCAGCATTCAGCAAATACGCGTTTATATAATTTAAACAAATCTTTAAATGGCTAATTAATTTATTTTTCAAACCTTGCAAACTTAGTTGAATCTAGTTGAGATCTTGTGAAGTGTGCATGTGTATCCTGCATGATCGCGTGTTCTCTGCATGACTTTCGGTGCGAATTGAACGCTTTAAACATTACATTTGTGATTTCAAATTATGCTGCGCATTATGCAGTACCGCCGCTCCCTATACGCAGAGTACGCAGTTTGCGTAGGGCACCAACTCCCAGGGGGGCACCATCCCAGTTGCTCAAAAAAAAAAAACCTTTTCGTTCTATTTTAATATTATCATATACATATACGTAAATAAAAATATAAGCATGAACATATATTCATAATTATAAAAAATGTTTTACGGTGAACTAAGTAGACAGGCGAAGCACACGTGACACGCCATCCGTGCCCGCACTCGCTCTCACCTCATGTTTGCGGCTGACTGCAAATGATCATAACTGATGGACAACTATGTCCAGGAAAAGACATCAGTAGTCCGGCGTCGAGATAAGAAAAAGAAAAAAAGCCCAAGATGAAGCCCGCGCATAACTTTTATGTACGCTTATAATCCTGTGAAACTTTTTGGGATGTTGAAGTTAATAACGTGTTTTAATGTCGGTAATAATATCACAGCTGCATCTGCCTTAATATTCTCTGAGTTTCCATGTTCCCGAAAATTTTAAATAATTTTACTACAAATAAAAATAAAAAACATGGTTCTTGTAGCAATAGTAACCACAAATTAACCATGGTTTTGATACTTCAAATAATAATTTACAAAGTATTCAGATACTATTTTTGTGGTAAAAAAACAGACCTAAGCCTTTAAAATGCCATAAAATGCATTATATAAAAACAATGAGGCAATAATGATTGGTTAATTAATAATAATCATATATTTTCATTGAATAACACTGTTAAAATACATAATGTAATACAAAATAAGCCATTTATGTACATATTATTACAAATGCCTGCAAGAACGCCAAAGGCCTGGTAATTGCAGTTGTAACACTTACAGGATGATCAAATCCTTGTTTAATATTGACCAAACATTTAATTCAAATATCCACTTAAGCTGTAATTTTTGGCCACCTTTTTGCGATAGAAATGCTAGCCTCTATAATTTCTTCAACAAAAACATGTGTACATCACAACCCTTACAAAAACTAATCCTTGGTTTTATCGAAGTAAAACTGCTGAATTTTCTTTTGTCATTTCTGAATGCTTGAGATTATAAAATCAATCAGACATCTGTATTAGTAAAATCATAGCCATAGGTGACTGTCTAGCTACAATTGTAATTTGTAAATAATACAATTTAATTTCAGTTTAGTTATTTACTTTTATGTTTTATTAAAGTTCTATTTTGACCCCTATCCACTTTTTTTCTTGCCGTAAAAATGGACTCGGCCATTCGTAAATTCTATGGGTCTAGCTTCCGGTCTCATCCGCGTCCAGCTATTTTTAGCTGTACAAAACTGTTAACACTCCCAAACATTTGAACAGAAGCGTGCATACCAACCAGAATTAACTGTCTATTTAAAAATTAGATGTTGTTATATTAAAAGTACAATATTTACCATACAAGTTGTTTTATATTATTTTATACTGGTTTGAGTTGGAGTAATTGAACAGATTTTTCAGTTTGGAGAACAAAGAAGCTATCACCAGGTACTCAGCATTTTTGGTATTTGTATAAAAAAAAAAGTATAGTAAACATTTGCCCTTCTTACATTGCAAGTGGAAGTCAAACGGATGTGTTTGTAATGATATATGTCATTCAGGGGTGTGTTGGACCAGAGGAGACAGGAAAAGGGTGGCAGCAGCAGCAGCTGTTTAATAATTCAGCACGCAGCACAGCGAACGTCTATACGAGCGTCTCAGTAAAGCTGTGTGTAAGCCTACATGTCTGCCACTCTGCTGGTTTAAGCAGGGACGTCTGTGCAAGTGGTTTGAGTCTTTCTGCTCTGTATAAGTCTTCTTCCTGTGCTGTATCTGGGACAGTATGCAGGCCGTGCGGCTCCGTACATGTCCCACAGCAGGGTTCGTGTCTCAGTGTTGAATCAGCACTTCAGGAAAGGTGGCACTCTGACCACAAGCGTTTCCAGGATGTTCACTTAGCGCTGTTATCGTATGACGTCTGAAAAGCAGTCCGCTGATTAAACTGCCTGGCAGCCGAGCTTGTGTAACTCTACACCGGTGCCTTGCTCAGCTCATTGAGCACCACACTGGAGTAATACCGAATCAGCAGGGTCCCACATAAACTCTGAAGCCCTGACCCCTCACAGAGGCTGCTGAGATGCAATATGCAGACTTTGTTTCTTAGAGCTAGTTGTTAAAGTAACCTGCATTCATATCCAAACTGTATGACTGCAAGGGAATTTATTAGGAGTATATTGCTTTTTTGTATTTAACTTGGCAATAAATGCATGCATACATACATGCATAAATAAATACATCTTCCAGTGTAAGAGAAATTTAATTATCTTTAATATTATATATATATAATATTTCAAACAGATGCGAAATAAATAAATAAATGTTGTCAGATATATGTTAAATAAATAAATAAATGTTGTCAGATATATTTAAGCCCAATATTCAAATATATATTTTAATATATATTTAAAATCATTTTAACATACTAATATTAAAAAGAAATGAAGTATTACAGTTTCCACAAATATTACACAGCAAAAACTGTCTTCAGCATTGATGGTAATAATAATAAGAACCATTATTAATAATTCAGCACAAACAATAATTGAGCACAAATAGCATAATAGAATGAATTTTGAAGGATTATGTGAAACTTAAGACTGGAGTAATGATGCTGAAAGTTATTCAAATTATATTTAAAACATTTTAAATGGTAAATTTGAATAATATTTCACAATATATCTGTTTCACTGTAATTTGGCCAAGTAAATGCAGTCTTGGTGAGAATAAGAGACTCCTTTCAAAAACATTAAAAACTTAAATAATAGTTTTAAATGTTTTTATTTATTTTATTTGTTTTTATTTATTTTTCTCATATAGCCTTTGTAGCAAATATGAACTCTTTGATTTAGTTATATTTCATTTTCATTTATTTACTTATAAAGCACTAATAAACACAACAAGAGTTGACCACTTTGCTGTACAAAAGAGGAAAGGTAAAATAAAAAGAATAATACTAAATAGGGCTGCACGAAATATCGCAAATGTAAATATCGCAATATGCATATCGCAATGGCGTGCGATATCATTATCATTTTAATAATAGGCTACTTAATTCAAAACGTTGCAAAAGGTCAAAGTTTTAGTTTGAAGCATATAGTAGAGAATTGCTTGACGTTAAGAGTTAAGTGCAATAAGTTGCAGAAAATAACTCTTTGCCGTCTTGTCTTGCTGTCTGATTCACACCTGAAGCGCACGCACAAGCAGCATCTCGCACAGCGTATCTTCAGTTCTACCGCACACATGCAAAGGGCGCGCGCGCACAGAGAGAGACGTGTTTCAGACCGAGTTGATTCGTCTTTCGCATCTCCTCCTCCTTATGTTTGTACAGACACATACACACAGAATTATGTCAATAGTACCCGTCTCGACGATCATTCTCGTAAACGCAGTGGGTTATGTTTTAAATGAATGTAAACAGCTGAGAAAGAAATCAGATGTGTATCATTATACTGGATCCGTGCAGTCAGATTTAAAGGGACAGCAGCCTATAAATACGTGCTGCTGAATATGTCACTAATGTTAACAAAACAACAAAACGGCTATAACAAATATGAATCTAAATTTAATTCATACTGTAAACACTATGCAGTGTTATTTTACACTTAATTATGAAATTTCTGTACCTGAATACTACTGTTTATTTTATCTATGCTTGTAAATTGTGTATTTCTTTTTTTTCCCTTTTTCTTTCTCTCTTTTTTTTTTTTTACTGACTGTTCACTTGCCTTTAATCATGTTTGAACTTTCTCAGACTATAGTTTTTGATGTGGTATATGAAGAAGTACTTAAAGTGTGTGGAAAGCAAAGTTACAATGATATAAAATTATTGTCATTAATTTTTTTGTTTGTATGTTCACATTGATGTTAAAATACATTTTCTGATTTGTGACATTACTTTTTAAGTAATGCTAAAACACTGCTGGTAACTGAGAAGTTATAGTGGTTCTTTATTTTCCAAGAAAGAATGTGAAACAAATTGGTTATATAATTTTCATTTTTAAATATTTTAAAATATCATTTAAATTGATTTTACACACTTTAAGCAATATCGTATCGCATATCGAATATCGCATTTTTCTTCAATATCGCACAGCCCTAATACTAAATATAATACATTAAAACATAAGTTAAAATGAGACCAAGAATTATCATGAATTAAATGCAAGAATAAAAAGATGAGACTGTAGCTTAGATTTAAAATCATATACAGAAGATGCGGATCTCACTGATAAGGGAAAACTGTTCCATAACCTAGGACCGGCCACCGCAAACACAGTCACCTTTCAACTTCAATCTTGATCTTGGATATGACAGAGTAATACTGTCTGAGGATCGCAAACATCTGGCAGACCTATTCACATTTACAAGATAGGTCACATTTACTGACAAATAAGAAGGTATCAGACCATTTAAAGACTTAAAAACAAACAATTTTTTTTTAAATTCAACTCTATAA